TGGATATCACGGATGTTTTTTTCCGGACGACAGTTTGCATAAATAAGTCTTTCGTGGATGTGCTGAGGAAATTTTTATTTTGAGTTAAGAAAATGTTAAGAGAAATGGATCGCTAGGTTTGACATGTTTTAATGCCGAATCCTTTAAATAAGAAAGTCATGTCTCACTTACCAGTGTCATTTCTGTCGGCAGAAGCAGTCGACAAAAGCAAATGAGCGTTCGACTCTGTCGTCACAGTTTGCATTCCGGATTTCGGCGGTCGCATTAAAGGAGAAGGAATGTCTGGAATATCGGGGAGATCGAAGCTAAGGCGATGAAAGCAAACTTCAGAACTCTCACTCCCGGCTCCAGAATCCTTTACGCCATCTTCGTCAGCACAGGACCCAGCTGCTGTCTCTACTGGCGAAGCGAATGCATTTGGTAAGGTTGGAGACGGTAAATCAGCCGTAATCGAAGACGCCATTGCATTTTAGTCCATAAAAGAACGGAAAATATAGTTTAAATGGCAAAGGCTTGGGCAGTGTGTCCAATAGTATTCACTGAATTTTGAACTTTTAAGACCTGGACCTATAATTTTTCTTCAAACTTTTTGTGTTATTCAAACACTGTGTCCGCCATTTTGTAACCGTCACTCTTGAATAGCGATGAGAGACTGGTAACCACAACAGTGCAACTCGTTCCAGGTCTCCAGACGTCTCTTTCCCACTAGCGTAAAATTTTGATCAGCATAGAGAAGAAGAAAAGAAATGAAGAGAATCCAATTTTTTTGTAGTAATTATCATTCCCCTGCAAAAATTTTGAAAGAGAACAAATAAGAATAATTTGAATCCCACTCTTAATCTCTGATTGGCCAGAGGCGGTAGAGCGCGGGGGGGAGTGGAGTCGGTAATTTCGTATGGCCCACACTACACTTTGCTTCTCGACGCGTTTTATCCACTTTTCATTGGCCGGCCCCACCACGTATCCTGCCTACAACCGTTAGAAATAAGGATCTGCTCGTGAAAATTACCTCTAAGTATATTTTTGTACAAACAGTATTCTGCTTAGACATCGTATGAACTTTTCCAAGGAAATGTGCCCTGGTATAAAAACGTTGTAAATTCTTGACAAAGTATTTCGCCCTTTTTAATCTGAGATTTGAGTGAGTCCACATATACGGCCAAGTTCAAACCGTGTCGATCACTAATTATATGAAATGAATGCATTGTAAATGGCAATTCGAAGTTATCTGGGGAAGATCTTTTACGGGCATTACTAAAAGGAGGAATTGGAAATTCTCAAGGGGGAATGATAAATGTAAAAAACATCCGATTCACTTTCCCATTTCCAATCCACGCTCAGTAAGATCTAATCTTCTACCAATCAAAGAGCTAAGAGGTACGTCAATAGATTTGTTAATGAACTTGAACTCATTTAAAACATGTTGTTTGATACGCTTGTACACAAAGCATTAACTACTTTTTTTCTTTGTCCATTCATAAACGGTTGAGCCACTAAAAAAAAAAGATAATACTTTGTTAACTCCCAGTTAAGCTTTTTCAACGTAATATTCTCGCAAACACCAAAAGATTCGGACATCAAACGATGGACTATCGTGCAAATTCAGGTTTTACCCCTACCATTAGCCTCTTACAACTGCATTTCAACTTCCTTTTCTGTGTCATTGTTGGGAAGAACAGGTCGAACTTCTAGACTAATTACAAAAACAAAATCATTATACGTTTTTGGTGTGTGGTATCGCTGAGTGTTTTTGCGACTTGTGCCGTATTTTAACGAGCCCGTGGAGCGACTAAAAACACAAACAAGCTGTAAAATTACTCAGTGATAACACACACCAAAGCGTCTAACAATTTATTTATTATCCAACTGCTTTATTTCATGTGCATTTCTTAAAAGGGGGAAAAGCGAATCAAACAGACTGAGAAGGCGTAGCGAGTATTTTATCACAAAATATTTTTACTCGATTCGCGCGTTATTTTAACATTACTTAGTGCAGTTGGGTAATGTATATATCCCAACACCTGGTGAGGTTCTTTTTAGAACGGTCTGAATAATTGTCTTTCCTTGTAGATCCTTAAAAAAAAACAAAAAAAAACTGGTGCTGCTCCCTGATTAATTGACTGACAGGTTAATTTTACTATAACTAGTAAGTTACGAAAGCTAGACTGATAATAAAATCAACTTAACGAATAATAAAACAAAAACAAAGTAGCATTTAAGATTCTGGTCAAGATACCCAATGGCGTGTACAGGTATGAAGCTTAATTTCGCGCCTCGAAGCAAAACATATGAGATACTTAACAATTCTTCGCCTCAGGAAGAGTGCATATTGTTGGAAAATACACGAGGGGATTATTCAACAATAATCACCGAGGCTGAGCCGAATAATTGTTTGATTATGGTTGCTATGGTGCTCTCGAATTATGTTGTGGGTTCGTCACTTTTGTTCTTGAAACCATTCTGTTGCAATTGGTTGGATTAATAGTATCGAGATGAGCAGCCAGTTTCCACAAGAATTCAACAGATTCATTAACTCGGTTAGCAAAAAAAGTCACATCTTTCTTCTGCAAGACTTAGTGTCATCTTTTGTGCTCTCCAAAATTGTACTTTCTTCTAATGCGTTTATCGCTTCTTGCATAAAAATGGCAAAACACGAGGCAGCCATTTTGAAATTTAGCATCACTGTTATAATCATCCTCTACCGAGCTGAACGCGAATATCTTTCTAATTACCAGAAGAGTGATACTAAAATNGCGGTTTGTCTGGATTGAGTAAAACAGAAATGGCGCCAGCGGCTGTTTCGTAAAACAAGCCAGTTTTTTCATTGACCCATACGCGTTGATAAGCACTGACACGACAATGACGAAAGAGCGAGCGTTGTATGGTCAGGTTTTTAAACCCTTCAAAGTAGAGGACAAAATAACTTGATGGTCTGCGATAGAAAGTATTATTGTCGAAGTGAATGACTGCCTTTGAGAAATTGTCATGTATTAGTGGTGGGATCATCAAGCGAATGGCGTAACTGTAGTCACTTTGATCCCATTTTAGTGATTCCTCGCTGGTGCTAAATAGCGTGTTTGTAATGGTCAATTGGACTGATGTTGGACCAAGTAGAGTAAACATGGCGTCATGTATATTATCGATAAAGGAGCATTTATCAATGAAAATATCAATTGGAAAAGAGGCGTTTTTTGGCGGTGTTGTTACTGTCTGAAATCCATGTTTAAGAGAGATAAACGTAACATTGAACAGGTTAATGCGGTACTTGGGCATGATGAGCAAAGCTACTTTTCTATTTTCTTTGTTTTCCATAAAACTATTCGAAATTGTCACCATCCCTGCATTCCCATTTGTGGAGGCTATATAGACAATCGCTCCTGCCTTTGCGTCTATTGAAATATCCTTAAAAATGCATTCTGAAATTGTAATGTCACTTTCGCCTCCGGTGGTAAGCAGACTGAAAGCGCCTTTACCTCTTGTCAGTATTTTCTTTGTGAAAGTGGATCCCTCTAATGTCACAATTCCACCATCTAGTATGACTTCTATAGCCATGCACCTGTGTGTTTGAGGTCCATGATTTCCTCCCCATTGTTGAACAGTTACATTTTTCAGCGTAAGATATAACCTGTGGGGACCCCAATGACTTCTTGGTGGGCCTTTTGGGGTTCTTCCAATTGATATCGCGCATCCATACCTGGCTTTGCATTTAGTGAATGTAACATTGGTAAGGTTCACGTGTAAGAGTCCATGTTTGCTATTGGCATAAATCGATCCGCCAGCGCCAGCCTCATTATTAATGAAATTAGAGTTTACGATTCTTAAAGATGCATTAATATTAGCCGCTAGAGACAAGGAAGAACCAGAACTTTCTGAATGGGCAGATTGGTTATAAAAAAACGAGTCTTGAATGACGATATCAGCCCTGTCAGACTGAACCACGATGCATTGTTCTTTTAGGTTGTTATGGCAATTCAAGGAGATAAACTTTGCTTTTGTTTCTCTAGCATGTGAGAAATATAAACGTCGCAGACTATACTTTTGTTTTTTGAGACCGTTTCCGTTGTGATGTAGCTCGACGTCTTCGAAGATTTCGTTTGTAATCGCACTTGAAACGTCAAGATCTAGAAAGGGGCCTTCGTTGTAAGAACTCTTAACCTTGCGGCAAAAAATGTGGATGTAAACTGGACCAGAATATTTTTCTGCAACGGATTTGATCTTTATAACTCCTTTCCCAGTATGGGACCCCCGGCGTAGACCATTTTTTTCAAAGAATGTATCTTTGATTTTTATTGTAACA